ACCGGTGCTCATCTTATCTTAAGCACCGATGAGTTGGCACATTAATTCATTGGTGGATAAATATTTTTCTTATGTAATTAATTAATTTGAAAGCTAGGGGCACTATAGAAGTATTGTTATTGTTAACTCGTGAATTGTCCCGTACGTCTTGCACCATACAATAGCTGTTTATTGCTTAATTAATTAGAAAAATATTCTCTTTTCTTGGTGGGTGGGGTTATAGTAATAATGGAATCCACAAAGTTGTCAAAGAAAGGATTTTATTTATTATTATATAATTAAGCATTAATATCACACCAAATGAATTTTTATTGAACATTGAATCACGACAAAGGGTTTTTATTTATATATTCATTGGAAGAACTCAAAATTGTTTAATACGTTAAAGTCTCATTATTAGATTCAAACTCTATTTATTTATATTGTCACTGCTCTTTACTTGAAAGCAAATAGACGTGAGTTGAACTCAAGGTTACTCAAAAAATTTATTCATTCTATTACAATATTGAATTATCTTATTTTAAAATCTTACTCAATCGGCGAACGAAAAATTCAAACCATTTCAAAAGTAGATGATTCTCAAGTCCCGTGAAGAGTTTGGACAATGAGGGTTTTTGCATTTCGAGACATATTGTAGAATCGTAATCATAGAATACGATCCTAATTGAAATACATATATTTGTTTCATACGTTGTGGGGATGTTGGGCCCAGGGACGGAGGCCAAGGCCCACCCCAAGCCCATTTAGTTTTCTATGGTTTTTATCTAATATCAGTTCAGTATCCTGTGTTTCGTATACATTTTACAAGAAATAAGAAGAAAATTTTTGATCGTTGGACTTACAGGCGGGACCCACACGTGAGAGCACAAGTCAAAAATGGTGGGCACAAGTCAAAAATGGTAGTTGAAATAGTAAAAAAAGGGTCAAATTTTTTACTCTTTTGGCCAATTAATGTATACCAAATAGAGGCATCTCTTGTGACTCCATCCCTGGACTTGGCCATTTCTCATTAATAATTTCTTCAATCCCATAAAGATAGACTTGCTTTCATTTTTAATTTGTCCCAAATTGTAGATCTCTTTTCTTATCTAGACTATAATTGATTTTTTTATGCGCTTTGTTATCGACACATTGCATTACTCACTAATCCATTAGTAGCCCCCCACTAATCTTTTTCTATATAAAGAATCTAAACTTTGTCATTATAAAGCACACTCTTCTATAGTTTCTGCAAGAAAAGAAAAACAATGGCTATGGCTATATACAGTATTTTTATGGTATTCCTTTTGTTCTGTCAATTAGGGCTAAAAATCGCATCATCTGATGAACAGACAACACCAAAACACACTCTACAAGAAGCCTACAATGTTCTTGGAATCAAACCAAACCCTGATGGCTCCTTAACAAGAGAAATTAGAATCCCAATGGTAAATGCAACCCCAGATATTGAACCTACTTCAACTACTCAAATTGCTCTCTCCAAAGACATACCATTAAACCCATCTACCAAAACCTTCATACGTCTCTNTAACAAGAGAAATTAAAATCACAAACGTAAATGCAACCCCAGATATTGAACCAACTTCAACTTCTCAAATTGCTCTCTCCAAAGACATACCATTAAACCCTTCAACCAAAACCTTCATACGTCTCTATAAGCCCTTAAACCATACAAAAAATAGTAAGATTCCACTCATAATCTACTTGCATGGGGGTGACTTTGTACTTTTCAGTGCAAAAACTGTCATCTTTCATGAATTTTGTAACCAGATCTCGGCTCAGTTTCCGGCAGTGGTGGCGTCAGTCGAGTACCGGCTTGCCCCCGAGCACCGTCTCCCGGCGGCCTACGATGATGCCATGGATGCTATCACGTGGGCTAGAAAACAGGCAGTGTTTGTTAAAGGTGCTGATGCATGGATAAAGTCGGTTGATTTTTCTCGTGTTTTCTTATTGGGCAGTAGTGCAGGAGGAAATATAGCCTACCATGCAGCCCTACGTGCACTTGATCTTAACCTTTCACCAATCAAGATCAAAGGGCTGATAATGAATCAGGCTTATTTTGGTGGGGTCCACAGGACAGAATCAGAGATCAAGCTCAGCGAAGATGCTTATGTTCCTTTGTACGTAAATGATCTTTTATGGACGTTTGCATTGCCAAAGAATGCTAATAGAGATCATGTATTCTCTAATCCATTGATGATTGGTGGATCATCCTATGACCTTGGGAGGATCAAACGGCTGCCAAGAATTATGATGAAAGGTGATGATGGGGACCCACTTGTTGATAGGGAGAAATTGTTGGTGAAACTTTTGAAGTCAAATGGAGTTCAAGTTGTTTCTATATTTAATGAAGGTGGGTATCATGGTATAGAGCTTGCAAATGCAACTGCACCTCAAGCTCAAGCTTTGTATGATGCTATGAAAAATTTCATCAAATCTACTAGATGAAATAAATGCTGTCCTACTTTAAATTGATCAATCCTTAATTGATCTTTTATTGCGTTCTAGCGTTGAACACATGTTGTCTTCTATTGTACTTTACTCATTTAAGTTTTCTTGTGTCATTAATGTATTTTATTCAATTTCTGATTTGTTGTGTGCTATGTAGAATTGGATGAGAGTTTTGTTTTCTTGATTGAGCTATATAAACATGAACCATGTCCACTGACGGACCCAGGGGGGTCCTGGGGGGCACGCGCCCCTCCCAACTTTTGAGAATTTTTTTTTAAGTCATATTTGGTATCGATTGAAATTTAAATCAAAGTTAAAAATTAATTTTAATAACATATTTCTTGAAATTCATAACTGTTTAACTTTTATTAAAATTTGATTTTAATCTCCACCAAATAAGGGCAAAATCATAATAAATTTGAATTTCGATAATATGCTAATTTTAAAAATTCTCCTATGATCGTACGTTAATGAAATTTACAAATTACTTATGTCATCTCAAAATTTATTTCGAGAATTACATTTTGGGCATATCGAATAGTCCAAACATATATCTAAAATAGTTAAAAATACGTTAAATGTGATTATTAAATAAAGATGTCTAGCTCACATTTTAAAAAAAAAAATCAATTATTTCATTAACATTTATTATTTTTGCGACAAATTTCTCAATGTAATTTTCATCGTTTTATTAGAAAATTTTATATGGAATATTACATCAAAAATTTTCGAAATTTTACATCCGAAAAAGTTATATCCCATGTAAATTTTCGAATGCAAAATTACACGGGGTATGATTTTTTTGGACGTAAATTTTCGATTGTAAAATTTCTCTAAACTTCTTTACAAGTTCGATTATGCCTCCCTAACTTTAAAACTCTGCGTCTGCCCCTGACCATGTCCCACAAGCCCTTCTCTCGAGACATGAGATAAATACAATAATCAATCACAACATGTCCGTCAAGTTAAATGAATTTTTTTTCTTAACTATTTTTTAGCCATTGGCCAATGTACTTTTCGCGGTGTTTTTCATTAATCACTTTACTTCCCACAACGTTTATTATTAATTACTGAACTTTTTTTATATGACGAAAATTAACGGTAAAAAATGTAGTTAAATTAACTTTTTTTCTTAACTATTCTTTCTATTTTTTTAAACCGTTGATGATTGATCGACGGATAATGTAACCATCTCGTAAGTTCAGTAGTTGGTGAGATATTTTAAAATTCAGTGACCAATAATAAATAGTCATTCATGCATCAACTTCCAAATATCAACAACGGCTGGCTAGAAATACTCTTTCTTGTGAACATTCTACCAAACTCCCACTGATCAGACCTTCCATGGCTGTCCCAACCCAAAAACCTTCATCACCTCATCAAAAACTAGAGCGAATAGTAATTCTTGGCCTACCATCGTTCCTCAAAAGACAGGACAAAGAATTCTCTTCGAAATTCCAATTTCTGAGTCCGTCGGAATCCAATCTTCCGTTGGAACAATTCCTCGAGGCGGAGGCTCAAAACACTCAAGCCGCTGTCTGCTCCGGCGGATTTAAGATCTCCGCCGAAGTCCTCCGCCATCTTCCTTCCCTTAGGCTGATCGTCACACTCAGCGCCGGCCTCAACCATATAGATCTCTCCGAGTGCCGTAAACGTGGAATCTCCGTCGCAAATGCCGGCAACATCTTCTCCGCCGACGTTGCGGATCTGGCGGTTGGGATGATCATTGATGTTATGAGAAAAATTAGTGCCGGCAATCGTTTCGTTAAAACTGGGCTCTGGCCTAAACAAGGGAATTTTCCTCTTGGTTCTAAGGTACATATATTTGTCATGGAATTTTATTACTTCATACTTAGAGCCCATTTGGCAGGCTTTTGAAAATAATTAAAATAATTTCCACAAAAAGTTATTTTTACAAGAAGCAGAAGTAAAAAATAGAATCTTGCCAAACATGCCCATAGATTCATTTCAAGCATAGATCAATTTTACTTGGGTTATATATATAAAGCTATGTTTGATTTGTGATTAAATTATAATTTAATTGATTAAAAGTTATGGATCCTACGAAACGTGTGAATTTATGAGTTCTACAATATATAATAATATATAGGTGAATCATATGTTTGACTAGAAGTGATTATCTTTTAATCAACAAAAGACTATTGATGATTTCAGTTGGGTGGCAAGCAAGTTGGGATTGTTGGATTGGGAAGCATTGGTGTAGAAGTAGCAAAGAGGCTCGAAGCATTTGGTTGTAAAATATCGTACTACTCGAGGAAGAAGAAGCCTTTTTCTTCGTATTCATTTCATTCCAACATCCATGAACTGGCTTTAGCATCTGATATCCTTGTCATTTGTTGTGCATTGACCGAGCAAACCCGTCATATGATTAACAGAGAGGTTCTTTTGGCGCTCGGAAAGGAAGGACTGATCGTTAATGTTGCACGCGGAGCAATAATAGACGAGAAGGAATTGGTGCAGTGTTTGGTGCAACAAGAAATTGCAGGGGCAGGGTTGGATGTATTTGAACACGAACCTCATGTTCCTCGAGAGCTATTTGGATTGGACAATGTAGTGTTATCGCCACATTCTGCTGCCTTAACAGAGGGAGTGTTTAGGAATTCAAATGAACTCGTGACCGAAAATTTGGAAGCTTTCTTCTCAAATAGACCCCTGCTTTCTCCTGTTTTAGACGATGAATAGAGTCATCAACGGTTTTATGTTATGTCAGCAGTCAGCAAAAAAGATACTAGTGAATTGGTGCCGTGTTATCTGCTAAAGCGATTAAATTTGATATTGAATTATCTCGTCTAAAAGCTATTAAAAGAGGAAAATTCGTTTAAATCATCTTTCAACTCCACATGTAGATCCAATTTTTATCTTATTGATATCAAAAGCATAGTATGTGCTGAATTTTTATAAACATATGGCAACTAGATTTGAACTTGGGGTCCATTGACTCGTCTGATACAATGTTAAACGATTTTATCTAAAATTTCGAATGTGCTTGAAAATGAGCTCCATGATTGCAAAAATGGTTCACATTTCTTCTTTTAATCATGATGATAAACGTAAAATCAGTTGAACATGGCATGTGCATTCAAATTCAACTCTTAACTTGAGTAGACTGAGATAAGAGTATGTCAATAATCAACATTACGAGTTTTACATACATTGAAAAGAAAGACAGCTGCACAAACAATATAGAAATTGAGTGATTACAGGTATACAAGGCACGAGCTGCCGTAGCCAAGTTCCTAAGGAAATGATTGGATCTTCACGGAAAATGAGCAAAATCCAAATGGACAATGAAAGAAAATGACGTAGCCTGCCAATGATTTATAGCTCAAACAGAAGCCGAAAAATAGCATGCTTTCTTCTGTATAATCGTTGTATTATTCACTTAGTTTGCAGTTGCGTATGTAAGGATGGTCAGACTTGACATACTTCAAGATCGACAACACTCTTTTCTTCGTGAAAAATCTTAATAAACTCTTTTCCCATGGATACTTGAAAACTTTTGTTTCCAATCTTGAATCTTCATTCTACTCAGAAGGCAAGTACACTGTACATATACAAATAAGAATATCCTAATTACAAGAATACATGCACTTTTCCTGTGAAAATATCTTTGTAAATTCTTGATATTTTAAGTAAGTCCTAAGATTAACATTCCTTTCTATCTGCAAGAATGACTTAAAAGTTGATCTACCCATATCCTCACCCAACCATTAGCAGTGCACATGTCATTTGTATTAAACTATAGTTTATATAATTAATTTGGCTTTTATATCTTGTCTGGGCATCTAAATGAAAAAAGATAAAGAAGAAAGGGTCACACCAGAGATTACAAAAAAAAAACAAAAGAAGAAGCTGTTTGGTAGACTTTTATTTACTTTAATTTATTTATCATACTCATTTTCAAACACATATTCACTAGATAAAATATTCTACACGTAAGCCCAAATTTTTTCCTACTTTTTAACCATACATTCTTTTTAAAAAAAAATACTATTCCAACGGATTCCCAAAATTTTCCAGTGGATCCGACCAGTCCAGCCAATCTAGCCTCAAGAAAATCTGGTACATGGCTTTCCTCATCATATTATATACGAAATAAATAGTGTTAATAGACAAATTAGGAAGCGCCATGCCTTCAATATCATTTGCTATTGACCTAAACGACGTTAAGTTCATGTTTGATAAAAATTAAAATTTTGATTTTTATCTAAGTCAAAATTAACAATTTATTTAATTACATATTTCATGGGATCCATCACATTTTAATCATATATTTCATCGACTTTTATCAAAATATGCTAAAAATCTTATTTTAACTTCTACCAAATAAGAATTAAAACGTAGGGTCCCATCGTAAAATAGTCCATGTTATTAAGCTCTTGCTTGAGAGTAACTATTTTAAATTATTTTTTCTTCACGCTTATTTTTAATCAATCATGCATTCTTGGAAAAAATCGATTTTCAAAAATTACTTTTTAAATAATCACTTTCGCAGAAGGGCTAAGAAGAATAGCTTAAAACACTTTACATGTTATTATTGTTTCTATCTTTATTCGACGTGGAATTTATCTCTTAAAGACACACCCAGCAAGATGGTGACTTGTTCGAGAACACAAATCTTGAAATTCTTGTGCTCATTCGAGTTTTGATCAGATCGAGTATTCAAATTTCAACAAAAAAATTAGTGTGCTAAAAGAAGCCATCGGCTTACGAAAAACATGTTAGAAAGTTGTCCAAATTTGAAATTTTACTACGTTATAATTTTTTTCTTTTTATGTAATTATATTGTTATTGTCAACTCATGAAGTGTCCCGTACATCTTGCTCCATACAGTAGCTGTTTATTGCTTAATTAATTAGAAAAATATTCTCTTTTCTTGGTCCTGGTACACTAAAAGTGCAGCCCAAATTAAATAGCCCAAAGAGTGAAGTCCAATTGGAGAGTCCAGGATAAATGTCCAAATAAGATTATTGATGAATGTAGTGGAAGCCCACGAACACAGTAACATCATCGTCCAAATTTGCAAGACGCCCATAATCTGAGCGAATGGAGTGTCTTACAGTCGCCTAGAGTGATGACCCCGTTCTCGCTCAAACCTTCGAATCGCCCAGAATCTTAGCGAGTATGAGATATTATGGTTATCCAGAATAACAATTATCGAGTAATCTTATCACATTCCACGATTCAAGGAATCCAGTTGAAGGTGGTTGAACGACAAAGAGTAGTGGCAGCAGTTAGAAATGGTAGTTCCACGACAAGTTAGCTACCATGAAGAAAGTGGATAGTTATAGAGGAATCTAGAGTTTTCCAGCGGTTTATCACGAAAAAATTATCAAGAGAACATAAAAAGGAAAAGAAGATATAGAGAAAGGGATCCCGAATCAAACACTCTCAAATAGAGAATATGTAATCATTTAATTTCTTAGTTTAAATTTAAACACTTCTTTTAGTACTCGTATGCTTGCTCCCCTTGGAGGTATTCTGTTTAGTTCCAATTGTAAATCATCGCCAATAAAAAATCCATTTTTGGGACTTTGTCTCAAGATGTATATTCCTTACACAATCGTCTGAATCTTTTTTAATTGTTAGCGACTATTCGCACGAAACAATTTGGCACGTCTAGTGGGACATTGGTATTTAATGTTGAAGATACAAAAAAGTGAAGCATTATGCCTCATAAAAATTTTGATAAGAAACCAGCAAGTTAGGGAGTAATCCAGTCTATAATCGAGCGATATCAGGAACAAAGGGACAGAGTCAAAGCAGTCATAGTCGTTACGAACCAATGACAGAGTTGAGTTCTCGAACCATGCATGCATTGCTTGGGAAACTCACACAGGATGTCATTGAACAGGTAAATCTATGAAATATTCCTAATATGGAAAGATTTACCCAAAGTGGAAATACACATTATGACAATATGACCAAACAACTGAATATATTAAATAAAATAGTGAACAAGTTAGTAGGACAAATGTGTCGACCAAGTTATGCCTATTGCAAACAACTTTCAAATGAGGATAATTGTGGGGGCATAATTCACCATATAATTCTCCTAATTTGAACTTAAATTAAGGATTAGAACCACCATTTGGCCCATCTACTTCAAACCAGGGGATAATGGAACGCCAAACTTGA